TAACGGAGAGGCAGTGGAGCAGGTGGAGAAGTTCAAGTACCTCGGAACTGTATTTACTAGTGATGGAAAGATGAACGAAGAGATTGACTGGCGAATTGGAGTAGCCAATGGCGTTCTGCATGAACTAGCCCGACCCACTGTGACTAAAGCAGAGCTCAGTCTGAAAACTACGCTCTCAAGTGTGGTGTTCAAGTCGATCTTTATCCACATGCTACCCTACGGTCATGAGTTGTGCCCAGACCATAACTGAAAAGCTTCGAACCCGAGTACAAGCTGCTGAAATGGGCTTTCTTAGACGAGTCGCTGGCGCTGCGCGTCTCGACATGGTCCGGAATACTGACATCCGGGAGAACCTTGGTATACAGCCTGTGTTTCTCCAGACGGCAGCTGTCTTCTGCTCAATCCCAGAATCTGGCACGAGATCAGGAACATTGGAAGCAGTCTGACGCGTCAGCATCCGCGACCCGAAAGGAGGAGCGGTCATGGAAGATGAAGAAGAAGAATAAAAGTTATGTCTGGAAGTTTCGTTAAATAATGATCTTCAATTTATTTTCCTGTGAGAAAGAGATGACTGGTCTTTCTCAAATAACAAACCTTCCATTTTGAAAACTGGAATTATTAAAACGGCGCTAAAAATCTTTAAACAAAAAAATTCCGCTGTCTAAAAGGTGAAGAATATAGTCCACATCAGACTTTCAATGGTTCTAAATCATCGATGTGGATACCGAAGGTTTTTCACTGCTAAACGCACATATCAGAGCTCAGAATAAGTGCGCAGAAACCCTGAACTTATGGCATTCCGGCTTCGGCTGCGCCACATGACAACATTATATTTGTGCAACATATGCTGAAATTCATACTTGCTTAATAACAATTGATAATATGCAAATAAACCAGATAAGACAGCTTATAACTAAGAATGTATTAGCCTTTTCAGTTCGTGCAGTGTTCTTTTGTATTCAAGAAATGACGAACAGAAATCAAATCGATACTGAAGGATAGCATTCCATGGCTAGTGATAAATTTCGAAAACAATTACGAACTAGCTTAATATCTCGAACAGCTTCCTTTTTTGAGCACGTTTAGACACAGTAACTATACTAGACCTGCAGGTGTAATTACAGTAAGATGG